AGGAGAGAGAGAGAGAGGGGGGGGGGGGGGGAGGGAGATTGAAAGAGGGAGAGAGAGAGAGAGAGAGAGAGAGAGAAAAGAAAACAGCTATTTACAGATTTCCGAAAAAATTTACTTAGAGCAAGAAGGAAGAATGAGCCCCCCCCCCCCCCCTGAAAAAAGAAAAGAAAAATAAGAAACACAGTGAATATAGCACGAGAGAGAGAGGGAGAGAGAGAGAGAGAGAGGGGGGAGAGAAAGAAAAAAGAGAGAGAGAGAAAGAAAGAGAGAGATAGAGTGGGGGGGGGGAGGGAGAGAGCAGAGCTTTTTAGTAGGAAGAGAGAGAGAGAAAAATACAGAAAGTAACAGAGAATGGAAGGAGGTGGAAAAATAGAACACGGGAGTGAAAGAGGGATTTAGGGGGAAGAAAATGATGATAATAGTAATAATAATAATAGTGTAAACTTATAAAGCGCACACACCGTCCAGAGAAGTAAAGTAAAAAATTTTGCAATATTTATATAACCCATTTCAATTCTCTGCTCTGATAGAAATAATAATAATAATAACGGAAATGACTTTAATAATCATTATAACTAATGATATTGATAACATTAATGATAGAAATAATAATAACGTAAATGATTATAATAATCATTATAACTAATGATATTGATAAAAATTGATGATAGTAATAATGATAACGGAAATATTTGAATTAAAAAAAGGCTTCTACCCGCCCCAATATTACTGGATGTGCCACTTTCCTTTTTTAGTATCAATTTTTGTGACGAACAAGACTGCTGCCAATTTTGTTACGCATTAATTATTGCAATGCTGCCACCTGGCGGTCATTACCACGATGGTTGAGATCTCTCGCTGTGTTTCGCTCGCTGTTGTCACTCCTTGGCCATAGCTAATTTAATAGCTTTAGCGTTACGGAACGACATTTCCAGAGAATTTTTAAAAGGGAATATTTATTAAAATCTACAAGGTGATGACACAAGATATAATCTAATATGAGTTACTTTCACAACAGTTAAGTTTCTTACCGACCATTCAAACAATTTATAAAATATTGCACTTTAAATAGCTTTATCCAAGTGATAAAAAATGACTTTCTATGTCATTCCGTAACAATATATAAGTTTCCATATTTCATAAATTTGATGAATGGTTGATAGGAAAGCCAAAGGTTGTAAAGGTATCTCAGGTTAGTTAATTTATCATATCATTCATTTGTAGATTTTTACTATAACGTCTTTAATGTTTGTTTTATTCAAATGTCATGTCATTTCGTAAGGCATTATAGAATTGACATAACAAAACGACTTGTATTGAAGTTATGAAGTCTGACCAAGCGGTTATCACATGACAGAGGACGGTCTTTGATCAATCTTTGATATGACTGAGTTTTTGTAATGAAATTCAATGTTGATAATTTGATAAACCGATATACTTGCTAGTCAATTCGTCAAAATTATCTACGTGATTTATCAACTGGACAATATATCCAAGACAACCAACACGTTTACATTATCTCTCGACAGCTACCCATCTTCCCTATAGGCTATAGTATGGGTATAATTACTTGCTTTCTTCGCTCTTCTCCACGGCCGCTCATATGGCATAGGTGCAGTTTTGCACACAAAAAGGAGCACCAATTGACAGAAGGAACAAAATAGTTTCGCAAAAGCACAATTTTCGGACAACTCTTTAACACCTCGCACTGGAAACAGTCGAGTCATCTTGAAGCCTTTGCTATATCCATGCAAGGGCGTCAATCCGGGGGGGGGGGGGGGGGAGGGGGGATCATATCAAATGTCCCCCATGTTTTGTCAGAAAAGAAGAGGAACCACCAGGGAGCAGAATTGGCACAAAACAAAAATAGTGCCTCTTACCCCCCCCCCCCCCCCCCCTCTTATTCACTGGCTGGCTGATTCGCCGCTAAATACTGACGGATTGGGCAAAAAAAAGAAGTTATTTTGTCCCTCCCATGCTCAAGCTCGGATTGACGCCCTTGAATTCATGGACCTACTACCATGGTATATCTTTACCCTCTGATAAATACAATGTGGCACAGGGAGATTATTTGTGTGGCGTATAAAGAGGAGGGATCGCATAAACTTTTTTAAGGTGGACTTCTGATATTTCAACCGTTGCCAGTCTGCCCCATGTCGCCGTCCGAGGCCACCCAACAAACTTATCGAACAAACATATCGATATAGGTCTATATCTATTTTTTTGGTTTTGTTTGGGGGGGGGGGGGGCGTTGTGGTGGTAGTGGTGGTGGTGGTGGTGGTGGTGGTGGGGGGGGGGTTATAAGTGACTGTTGTGGTCATTTGCCATGCACCTTATCCAGCTATGCTAATTGTGCTAATTGTATTAGACTGTAGACTTGTTCCAGTAATTGTACATTTTGAAGGTAAAAAACAAACATTAAAATAACTTCTCCGTTTTTGATTTTTTTTAAATATAAATTTAAACAACACCAGACAACATCAATTTCAATTATCGACAGAGATCTGTTAACAACTGGTCGTACCAGCAGTCCCTTTGGCTCAGTAGGTAAAGCGTCTGCCTGTCGAACCAAAGATCGTGGGTTAGAAATGTAACCCAGACAGATGACTATTAAAAGCCTGTGTTGATGAACCCCTCCCATGTTTCATAGACGCAGGCGATGTCACAGTTGAAGGAAAAAAAACACTCTGTCCCTCGGATAGGACATAGGGCATAAATTGAGCCCTTGCACTACTCGGACGCGAGTAGGACTAGGGGAAACTCCTGTGATTATGTAGCTCACTTGCACACCCCAAATCAGAAATACCGGAGGGGGGGGGGGGGGTGGAGACCCGATGGTTGCAGTGATTCAGTTCGCTCTTCGCCTCAGGTACAGGTGACACCAAATAATAATTTTAAAAGAGTTCCCAAATAGGTTATATCCAGAACTCAAAAGGCTTAATCTTCTCAAACAAGTGGCTTCCTCTATTAAACAGCATGCATCCTTGTTTTTAACCAGCAGTTCCCTTCAAGATTCTGATTGAGCCACAAAACAGGTATTTTCCAATGACAAAAAGAACTACTGGGGTGAAAAAGTTTGAGCACCGTTTCAGAATTTTTCTCTCTTTCAGTGCCTTTAGATACTTATTTTCATCCATTCTATGTTGAATTCGGACTGTGAACTATTTATAAAAACAAAGCAAACAAACAAACAAATAAAGATAACAAATTGTTTATCTTGATTTGACAGAGGTACTGTATAATTATGTTTCTCCTTCGCTAGGCTACTCCCATTACGATTAAAATTTCATTTATTTGCAAACGCTTCAAACTTGATACATTTATATGCTAGTTGTGTTGCTTCCAATGAAATCTCAATCATCTGTCTATGTTAAAAAATTCTTGTCTGTGTTAAAACATTTCTTATGATGTGATTTCTTTTTCTATATATATATCATCTAATCGTTTTCTATATGCGTTTCTTGTCCAGAACGTACGCAAAGTCAGTCTCAGTAAATGCCATTAGAAAAGACGAGAGAGGACGCTATACCGTCAAACATTCCAGAGCCATCTACACACATAGTTTGGCCCACTTGTTTTCAGTTGGCCATCACCCCGGTCATCACATGGCGTATATTATTTTGTGGTGGTGGTGGTGGTGGTGGTTATTTTACCAGACTGCTAAGAAAGCACAAACGCTTGTAAGTAAGCAACCAGACGGCCGACGGCTTTAGGTCCTCTCCGAGGGACCTGGTAATGAGGATTAATGCCTAACCAAAGGGCACTTATAGCGCATCGCCTTGGTTTCGAACCCGGGTCACCGGATTACGAGACCACTGCTCTACCGACTAAGCTATATTATAACCAACTATTAGAAGATGATTGTCCCAACTCTGTAAATTGATGGCTCTGAGACACTCCTGACCTCGGCTCAATCACAAGACCTTTGCTAATTATGTACCTTAAATCAAAAGCTTAGGAAAGCAATACAATATATACACCAAGTAGTTATAACTAATCCTATAAAATCAATCCAAATTATTGATCGAAATAATTGGACCATCAAGAGGAACATCTATTACAAATCATAATTTTCATAACTTTCTAATTACTCGTTTTTTTTATGAAGACATTGATAAAGTTTGTTTAAAAAACACGATAGATCGCAAAAGATTTTCAAAAAAATCTTTCTAAAAGCAATTAGAATTACCTTCTCCATAACCCATTGAAGTGTTTGAACATTATTATGAAGTTGACATATTTATGTGTGTCATTTGATAACGATTTATAATTTTATATGGGATAAGGGCGATTGTGGTGGATTATTTTTAAAACTATTTTTCCTGACGTGTTTGATAGTGTAGACCTAACGAACGAAATGCTTTCTACCTACAGCGAAAATGGAACGAAAACAGTCCTTTAGCATTTCCTAAAATACTATTTTTAGTATCATGTCTTTATTTGTTTAAAACTACCACCCCCATATCTGCATTATAAAATACGAAAAAAGAATAAATTGCAGGCTCATACAAAGTAATATAATGTGAAATATATGTATACTATCATAAAATAACTCTACTTACTCTGATATTAAATACTATAATATAATTATAATATGAAATAACATAAAATAATTTTATATAATTATAATATAATATAATATAATACAATATAATATAATGTAAATACAATATAATATAATAAAATACAATATTATATGTAATATAAAACAATATAACACAATACAATACAATATAATATAATACAATTAATGTAATTTAATATAATACAATATCATATAATATAATATAATATGGCATGAAATTACATAATATAATATAATATGACATAACATGGTATAATATAATCATTATAATTATTATAATGTATACACGTTAATCCTTCGTAATACTCAAAAGACCATTATTCTTGAATATGAAAATTATTTGCTACCACCTGTCCGAGACTTGTAAGCAATCAGATTACCCCATATAGTTTGCTTTGCAAATTTGCAGACAAAGATCGATTGATACATTTCCTACATCAAAGAGCAAGCCCAAAGTGGTTCAGGTCAAAATGAAAGGAATCAAGAAAACACGCATAAAATCCATTGAATTTGCATAAATATTGAAAAGAGCTTTTTATTGAGGAGAAAAATCTGTCCATACATCCGCCCGAATCTACATGGTACTGCTAATTGTTCACCGTTACATACACGCGCCCCGCCTACCCTCGTAGCCCGTGTACGTCAATCATTCGCTTTGCGTTGAACTCACCAACATGGCGGCTAGAGGATGTGCCTCAACACGGTTTAGTGACGAATATGATTTGAAAGATGAACTTGGGAAGTGAGTATTTCATCGGAAATATCCTACTCTATATTCTCATCTTCTCAGTCGAAGATTTTCGTATATAAATTGCACCGTTTCTCTGCAAATGACGACTTATTTTGATGTGTTTGGTTCACGACTCATATGTTACATGTCTCTCATCTCATTTGTGTGTGTGTATTTATTACAGGGGAGCGTTCAGCGTTGTTCGCCGGTGTGTGAAGAAAAATACCGAATTGGAATTCGCTGCAAAAATCATCAACACAAAAAAGCTATCAACGAGAGGTAAATATCTTACTCGATCAATTATGTTTTAGAATATGAAATGTTCCTTAAAACGGCAAAGTTTATTGCAATTTTAGAAACCTCATGAAAAGAGAGTTGTTGTGCATCTTCATGTGCAAGTGGATATATTTTAAATGTACACACAAGTATGTAAATTTTCGGAAGGAATGAGAGAGATAATTTATGTTCAGTTAATAGGTTAAGAATATTATAATGCAGAACATAGAGGCTACACATGTAAACATTCATATTTATTTTCATGAGTCATTACATGACCTTTTCATTAGGCTTCTAACTTTCTAAGTGAATGTCTGTATTTGTATAAATTGGGTGGATTCACAATTAACAGTGCCCCTAACGGCAAACCGCGACACGCCAATTTGTCAGCTCTCTGGTTGACATCTTTCAACCAGTGTAGTGTAGCAAAACGCTAGCCTGTAAATGAAATTACCAAAGAAGTCCAAACTGGGTAAATTCATTTAATGGGATTGATTTTTCTGATATCTGCACATTTTGTTATATTGAATTTGGATATCAATTGATTCTGACCATAAGTTTGGCCGGATTTTGGACTAAAATTGTCATTTTTTGCATAAAAGTGACTCAAAGGAACAAAACGTTGTGAGTAGGGTCAATTCGACTTTTGGGAATCACCACAAAATTTTACACCAGAGCTATTCAAACCTTCCCCACCAAGTATTCAGATTAAATCCCACTATCTACTAGGGTACATGCATATACAGTATATAACAGTGCCACAGCTGATACTTTTGGCTACTTTTTTTCCATAATGCATCATGTGAAATGGACTAAACACTGGTGTCGCTAGATGGCGCTGTGGGTTGTGAATCCACTATGATGAAGGCTGTGGATCAATAATTAGCTGTAGATGAGAGTATGACTACACATGTACATTTACACACAAGATTATTTGTGCATTGGTGCAGCTAAATTTTGTAGATTAATATACCATTTTTCTTATTTTATGCACCTTTCTTGATCCAAATTTGTTCTGAACTTTTGGAAGGCTCGCCCAGATGCTTGCCTTACCTAGCATCAGAATGTATTCAAAGGGGATTCCATCCATAAAGATGTCATTATATAAACATGGCAGGTGATGTCCAGGGGATGTTTCTAGAAACTATCATAAGTCTAAGGGTGCGTTCAATCAACACCTTTTCACCCTAGAATTACGGTTTTGAAAGAAGTTTAGTTTAAAACACAGTTGCGTTCAAGCGATTTTTTGTTGGTCGTAAAAAATAACATGAAACGTAGAAAAAGATGAGTTTTGTATCGTCGCTAAAATTTGCTTGAACGAAATAACGAATGGAGATCTCATTTGTGATTCTAGCTTAAAAAATCGCTTGAACGCACTGGTTTTGCTGGTTTCGAGGTACTCGCCCCAGGGGTCTGGGTCCTTCGGGGGAGAAACATGCATAAATTAAATTTCATGAGTCAACAGGTCTATTCACAGAGACTGTTATGTAGTAATGTATTCAAGTTTCTTCAGACTTAAGTAATATTTGATGATTTGAAAACTGCTTGAGGAGTGACCAACATAGCAACAAAACATTTACAAGCTACATTCTGACAAACGAAACACAATGTCATGTAAGAAATTAATACAATAAGCCAGTTCATAATTGCAGTCTGAGCATGAGCAGATAAAGGTCATTGCAGACCGAATTGTGAAATACACTGAGACAAAATACTAATATGTGCTCATGAAATATGTAATTATTATTCATTTATGCACAAGCAGTGTACTCCATGGTACACAGGTGGAAGTATTCTTTGAAAAAGGGGAAACAAAGGCTGTTTTTGTAGCACCTCCATCGCTGTAGGAGTGATTATTTCAAAATGTACAAAGTGGGATCTCTTCATGTTTTGAAGATATGTGGATATTCGGGGTCATTTGGAACATGTGCTAACTGTGAACTGATTTATACCAAGACATCCTCTTGTGCATAGTAATGTGCAAGGGGAAGGAACAGAAATGCGTGTTGGATATTATGTTCACATAGCAGCAACTGATGTTTACAACTTGCATTTCGACTATTTTATACAACACATAAATGCAATAGTACATTACTATACTCTATGCACAGGTGAATGACTATACAGTGCCTACCTCGCATAACACAAATACCATACAACATAAGAATGGAAATGGAGTAGTTTATTACTATGCATAGGGGAAGAAAAGATTACAAGGACTGCCCCACATAGCAGCAACTAATATGTAGAACCTGCAATTTAAAGAAGTGATAAGTGATAATGTTTATATGCAACATGTGAATGCATCCAATGTAGTACATGTAGTTAATAACTGCGCATTTAGAAGTATCCGTATTTATTTACATAATGTAAGCGGATCTTATGTAATCACTGTCAGTTTAGAAATTAGTTTATTCTGTCAATTGTCATGCTATTGCTCAATAGTCATTACTTCGTTGTGGCGAACTTACACAAGAAAAATCACTGGAAATTTTAACTTATGAGACTTTTTGATATTGTTTATTCAGCGTAATATAATAACAGGCCATATCCATTTTGCTAGGAATTGAGGGGAGGGGCTAAAATTGTGAAAATGTTAAAACCTATGCCAATGTATTAGACTTCTCCTCTTTTTAGCTCCCTTCAGCCGGAGGCTCAGGTGAGCTATTGTGATCATTTTCTGTCCATTGTCCCTAAACTTTTTTTTGCATTTTTAACTCCTTCTAAAAAAAAAGAAGAGCCGTATTTTAACCAAACTTGGTAGGAATCATCCTTAGGCAATTTGTTAAAATGGGGTATACATGTACCCCATATGGGAGACCTGGGGAGAGCATTTCTTCTTCTTGAAAACCCATGGCTTGATTCTAAACAAAATATGTAGGAACCACCTGCAAGAAAGGGAGATCTTAAGTTGTTCAAAGGGGGCTTGGGGGCAGCCTTTGATAGCCACCATCCAAATAGCAATGCTCCAATAGTATGAGTATTGAAGTGACAGGCTGGCCATAAGATGGAATCGTTGATACAAAAGTGTGTCATATTTGTAATTAAGGGAAATTGTTGTCACAGCCCAGAGCTTTTGCTAGTTTCTTTGAAAATTATGGTACATGAACCGTAAATACAGACATGTACATGTATACAATGTACCTTACATGTACATGTTTTAATATATACAATGCAGCTACAGGTGTGGTAGTAAAACCAGCAAAAAAACTGAAAAGGCCTTTATAATGCATTTATAACGTATTCACCATGGGTTGACCATATTTCAGTAAAAAAGAAGAAAATTACCGGTAAGCAGGGTTGCCTCTCCAGTTAATGAACTGCTATCCCTTAGGGCCTTGCACACTAAAAACAATGCATATTACGGACTTTATAAGTGTTAGTTTGGCGTCAAACATCTGCGGCTTGTATGATATTGGTACTTAGGCTAATTTTGGTCAGGTTATCACTATAATAGTGTAATGGAATAATAACCATGGTTTACACACGTTTAAAGTGGTGATGTGTGCACCGGAATCAGGATGTAAAATACTACCGGTAATCAGAATTGCCAAACTGAAACACAATTTCCTGGTATTGCATTCATATTTTTTTTGTCAGGAAACTCTAAATTGTGCTCTATATTTAAAGGTAAAGACCAGTATTGGAAACGCCCCAATTTAAAAAAATGAAATGGAAGCTCTCATTACCGATCATGTGAAAGAATATGTTTTGACTAATACATGATGATAAAAAATTTGCCGGGAAACCGCCTACTAATTCATATATTTGGTAAATTTGTTTCTCTCATGGCCTGTGAGAGATATAGGGTAGTCCCATATACATCTTTCTGTGTATAGTGCTTGTAACTTTACGAAGAATGGGCCAAATTTCTTATCATTTTGATGATTCCAGAACCTTGCAGATGCTAGATGCTAGATGATCAACCTTTTCTGATATATTCCACAACGTTTCTTTCACAATGCAATCGCATGACCATAACTGGTCTTTACCTTTAAAGTTTTCTTGCTCGTATTAATTAAAATGATCAGGGCCTATACTCATAAAACCTTACTACCTGTAGGTTAGTTGCTAACTAATTTCATAGGCTATAGCCAGTGTTATAGCTAGAGACTTTTTAGTGGTGGGTGCAATATCAGAATCGCGAGCTATGAACACAAAAACATGGGTGTTCTGGGCGCTTATCAAAACAAACTCGGCTCAAACCTTATCAATAAAAAAACGAATATTTTTTAATTTTATAATTATCGGACAAATTTTACAATATAAATAATGAAATGAACATATTTTATAGTATTTTAATTAACTTATTCTGAAAAATTACAACATTTTTAATCACCCTATTAAAAATAAACATCTATAAGAACAGGCTGCTATCTCTGTGTATTATAATGTATACATCGGTAAAATTGATATGGCAGCTTTCATGAAACGTAACATAAGACAGCAACAGTCAGCAAATCTTTAAAAAAATATATATATTTATCGTCAAATTGAAAACATGACTCTTATACAATTGTAAATAAAACATGATTAAAGACAGAAATATGATTGTAAATGTAAATACTACTACTTTTTGTCACAAATAGTTATGTTTAAAGTATTTTGTTATGATAAATTAGTGCCAATCAGAAGCAGTGTCTTTTATCTGTACTGGTGGGCGGAAATCCCCTGTGCTGGTCAGGCCCGCCCAGTGGCGACCACCGTAGCTAGAACACTGGCTATAGCACATAGTTTGTTGACAACTAGGCTTACATGTAGTAAGGTTTTGTGAATATGGACCCATCCAGTTTTACCAGCCCAAATTGGCTTGTTGCCAATGTATTCAAAGTATTGGTGCAGAGCAATTTTATTTAAACTGGCTAAAAATCACACAGAATATCATGCAGTAAATGATTTGTTTAGGCTAGTAGAATTTATGATGAAATAAATCTGGCAGAAAATCACAGAAACTAAGCCTACAATGTACTACCACCACACATACAGTATTGATAATCAGTCCGTAAGTATTGTTCTCTTTGTTAGGATAATTTAGATATTAGATAAATTTAAATATCAATTAAAAATCACCTGTTATGAGCTCTTGTATTTCAGGACTCGGCATGAAGGGTTACAAAGTACAACCATTCACTGCTGCAATGGCAGGCAAACCTGATTTACCCAGTGGAGAATCATTAATCAATGTTTAATGTAAAATTTGAAGCAAAATATTGACCCATGTAAATGTATTTTGTAAAACTTAATTCCAGTTACCGGTAGGTCATCCACAATTTATACCTAGTGGTACATTATAACATAGACTTTTTGTGGTATATGAGTGTTCCTTGTTTGGCATGTTTAGATTGGCAAAAAAAAAATATAATGAACAAAAAAAAAACAATTATATTCAGGGCAACTACATGTGCATACATTGTATATATGTGCTTTGGGCCACCCTATGTAGTTTATGTTTATGTTGCCCAGAAATGAAGTAAAAAAAAGTCCAGTGCTTTCTTCTGCATTCATCACATTATTTTATAATTACATGTATATACAGACATCAGTCACTATAACTCAAAGTTTGAAGTGAATTAGGGACTACTGTACACTGATAAAATTTGCTCAATTTCACTGAGAAAATGAACACCATTTATGTGTTAGTAAAGTCCTGTTTGCGTATTTCTAATTTGCACGGTCTACTAGTCATGCATTATAACCACATCAATTATTCAGCAGTGTTGTGTGCTGTTGGTGTATACTACGAGGCCATTGCCAAAGATTTCATGTTATCAAATAGGAAGTACAGATCACTCAGAGAGAGAGAGAGAGAGAGAGAGAGAGAGAGAGAGAGAGAGAGAGAGAGAGAGAGAGAGTGAAAGGGAGAGAGAGAGAGAGAAAGAGAGAGAGAGAGACAGAGACAGAGAGAGAGACAGAGAAGGGAGAAAGAGAGACAGAAACGGGAGAAAGAGAGAGAAAGAAACAGACAGAGGGACAGAGAGACACAGACACAGAGACAGAGATAGAGACAGAGACAGAGACAAAGAGAGAGAGAGAGAGAGACAGAAAGAGATAGAGACAGTCACACACAGAGAAAGAGAGAGAGAGAGAGAGAGAGAGATAGGGACAGAGAGAGAGAAAGAGAGACAGAGAGAAAGAAAAGGAGGGAGAGAGAGATGGAGACAGAGAGATAGAGACAGAGAGAGAGAGAAAGAGAGAGAGAGAAATAGAGAAAGAAAAGGAGGGAGAGTGAGAGAGAGAGACTCCATGTTTATGAGTGTACAAAGTATACAGGCTTGCCTCCCTATAGAATTTGTGTAGTGATTGCAAATTATGCATATTGATCAGCCAATATTACCCGCTATGCCTTGTGGCATATCGCACCGTATGCATCACAAAGTAATGATAATACACCCCACGTCACGAGCTCAATAGGTTAATTATTGAAGCTTCTAATTGGATGCCCCTCTAAAATATGGCCATTAAAATCTCATAATTTACAGTCCGCGTAAAATTAACATGTGGTATCTTCATTGTCCTTTCTGCATATACTCCATCCCATAATATAAGTGTGATAAATGTGTAGGTGTTTTTTTTTAAAGAGAATGTTTAGTTAAAGGGATAGTTGGGTTCTGTTGCAGAGAGCGCTACATAAAATGTGTTTTTGTGAGATAATGAAAAAATGAGTGTCAAATTTGAAAGAACATACAATTTAAATGACAAAATCATCTTTGTTTGATCAAAATCGGTTCAGAGACGGCTGAAATATTGATTAATGTAACAATTTCCAATATTTGTGTACCACCACAAATATTCGATAATTTGAAAAAGCCGTTGAAAAAAAGAAATAGCGACTTTTACGTTATATTTCAGCCAATGCCAATGTTGGCTTTTTTGTTGGATTTTTCATGTTGGTTACATTACGCACAATCAGCGGCCCCATGTATTGTTATTTTTAATTAATCAATTAACTAACGGTCACCATATTTTTTTGAAAGTGGAGCTGAATTGGTATGATCATATTGGCTAAATTTCACACATTTTGGGGTCTACAATTCATAGCAATTTTACGTCCTAAAAGGGCACTAGAAATGTCATAGATAAGAATAAGAGCAATAACCATGAACTTTGAAGGCATTTGCGGTTTGAAAATAGAACTCAACTATCCCTTTAATAAAGGGCTTGAGAGTTAAATTGTACATGTAAATTGGTCATTTACATGTATGTTAAAATGAATGAGTCTTGTATCTTATGCTGGTAACTGCTAAAGTTTACGTGTGTGTGTGTGTGGGGAGGGGGTGGCATTTAAGTGCCACTTAAGTGTCAATTTGTAGTTGCTGTTAAAGGCTAAGACCACTCCAAAAATAATTTGCTTTTAATAGATGCAGAAAAACAAGAGAAACAGGGCAGACAAAATTGAGTAAAATTAAATAACCATTTAATTTCCCTTTTTATCCCCCAAAACTTGATTTCCCCATGCCTTTGCCCAGGTTATATGATTTGTATCATATTGTATGCAAACATGTCACAATCCTTTTATGAACTTTGAAGAATTGATACTTTTTTCTGAATATTTTATAATCATAATCACTGACTTTTTTGGGGCGGGATATTAGTTTAGTGCATCCACACAAAAACATTTTACTATCAATATCACTTGGATGCTGGTGTGAGCCTAAGATTCTTAGGGGAAAAATGGGAAATTTATATTATCAATATAAAGAAAACAATTAGTGGATAGTGAGGCAATGATGTCACAGACTCATGAGTGAGTTGCGAATTTGTCTTGTGATTTTCAAAGTTTTTCTTTAAAAATTCATAACTTTCTTATTAGTTATCTGATTTTGCTCAAGCTTTTTTCGATTGGTTTGTCTGATTTTTTTGCTTCTATTGAAAGTAAGTTTTTATGAAGTGGACTTGCCCTTCAATTTAGTTATTCCTTTTGTCTTACCAAGAGTATTCAATAAAAGTGGTGGATCAGGAGTAGTGTAGGATGGAGGAGAGAGTGGGCATGCCCTCTTTTACAACCTGTTAGTCAAATATTGATTACACACACACACACACACACAAAGAAAATGTGCCCCTACTATTTTTGTCCTGGTTTCCCCATTTTAGACTTTAATGGGTATATGAAATTAAGATAATGCTATTATTATTAGTAGTATTTTAGCTTGTTAGGATTACTACCACCATCATCATTTATTAAAGTCGGCATGTTCCCTTCTACATGTACATGGAATTACTGATTTTCGCACCATGATGACTTTAATTACATGTAAATTGGGATATATATATATATATATATATATATGTATATATATATAATATTTTTTTTTTTTTTTTTTTTTTTGGGGGGGGGGGGGAGGGGGAGGGGTTAGATTATTTTGACTTGTGTGTTGTGTGCCCCCCCCTAGTATGCTATTCACACTGGTAAAATTTTGCTTAGCCCACTTTCTGTTCAGACACAAATTTACCAAAGTGGGCTAGCCCCACTAAATTACTGGGTTAACTGTACAAAAAGCAGGGCTACATGTAACTCCGCAATTGCGGTGCTAACATGAATTTATAGGCGCTTATTACCGGATTAAAACAGCGTTGTGAAAAGCCAAAAAGTTTGTCCAGGGCTAAGCAAAAAAAGTGTGAAAAAGCATAAGAGAATCTGGAATCCTCCCCTGATTTCAACTTGGTGTGCTGAGACTTGCTTGCCACATGCATGTTTCCTAATGTGCTCAATCACTTGCTCATGCGTGTAGGATATCCATATCAAAAATGTACTTAATACAATTTGATAGGGTACTTATTGGTAGAACTAATTGGCTGAAACCTGCTACTACCGTAGTTAAGAACATTACAAGCTATATTGATTTACCACGAAATAAGATGTTACATGTAGCACGGGTACTTTCTCCTTCAAAATATTATATATATACCCTAATAATTTATGAATATGCTTTAAAGGTATAGGTCAACCTTTCTTCTTTACTGCAGTCTGAAAATTGGTCAAAATTGTGATAGACATCAAGATAACAAATAAGAATTACATGTGTAGCTCGGAGTAGGATAGGAAATTGCTGATAATAAACATTTCTCTCATAAAGTTTGAACAAAATTGTCTCTTTTAGAGAACATGATTTTTTAACAATTTAAAATGCATATGCAGAGTAATCGATTGTGATGTTACCTTTTAGAAAATGACTCAGAATTAGATTAAAAGAGGAGATTTGCTGTGTTAATTCTTGAAGTTCATAATTAATAAGCATGTGATTGCAAAATGTGATCTATATGTGCATGAAGTTCCTGCACCAAAGATTTCTTTTTTTTTCTCTTTTTTTCCAAAACATTTTCTGGAAACGCAGAACAGGAGAAAGGTAGGCTAAATTTCAAAAACTTACCCAAAACAAGAAATAACAATATCTGCAAAGTTGCCTAATATTCAGTTTAATAAGTATATGCATGCCTTTTTAGAGTTTAATTTTGACAATTTAGATTGTAGTTGTTATTGATACAATATCTACAGATAGCTTATCAATAACCTTTGGACCATAACCAATTTCTTTGACACTGAAATGATTTAAACATCATTACATCAACTAAATTTCAAGACTGAAAAGACACTAGATGAAAGTGATTTATTCTTTTACATGAAGTTCTAATAGTGATTTTCATATTGTTTTATACATTCAAATTTGCACTGTAGGTAAAAAATACATGTGAATTACACTAATTTTATGATTGGTGAAATATCTGCTAAATCAATTTCAATTAATATAATGTCTGAATTATCCTCACAAAGAGAACAATAATTATGGATTGATTATCAATACTGTATGTGTGGTGGTGGTAGGCTTAGTTTATGTGATTTTCTGCCAGTTTTATTTTATCATAAATTCTACTAGCCTGAGCAAATCATTTACTGCATGATATTCTGTGTGATTTTTAGCCAGTTTAAAGCCTGTCTGCACTAGTTTGGCTAGGAGGGATTAGACCTCCCTGCATGGTCACTGACGGGTAGTTATCTCATCAAATCAGCTCTCAACTAACATAAGAAAAAGGGATCATGGGGCACCAACGGGTACCGCTTAGGTTTTGTTTGCTATATAGAGGGCGCAATTAGCTATAAGTAGTGCAGACAGGGTTTAAATAAAATTGCTGTGCCATTTAAGGGAATCAACATTATATTCCTTCCTTATATATCATTTATGATAATCTGAAATGTAGTGATTTTAATTGGGATTTAGGGAATTACTAATTAGTCCAATTTGTAATACTGTTGATGGTATTGCCTAATCAGGGGCGCTGAAAACTAATAAACTAATAAAATGATATTGCTAACCCAAAATGAAATGTGTCATCACTTAAATGTTTGGAATGGTATATAAAGCCAATTCATTGCTTTGTGATGATGTACATTCACCTAAAATTTGATTTAATTATAATAATATAGTTGAGAGAATTTAGGAAACGATCAGATCAGTTTTTCCCATCTTTGTCATTAACAATGGTCTGTTTTCACTCAAAATGTTAGATTATCTTCAATTGTACATCTAGTATTTAAGTCACTACCTAAGCACCATTTTCTCTCATCTGAACAATAGTACCAAGTCCCTTTAAAGGCTGTGTCTGTCATTTTCAATTTCATTTTTCCCCCTTCAATTTCCAGTTAATTGATTAATTTCATAAAATAGAAAGATATAATATAATGTACAATTGTGCCTTAAAAATTGTATTAAAAAGCAAAAAAGCAAAAAGCAAAATTCACAGCAATTCCCACCTAGCATTGAAGTCACTACCTGAGCACCATTTTCCATCATCTGAATAATGACACCAAGTCCCTTTAAAGGCTGTGTCTGTCATTTTTCAATTTCTTGTTTTTCTTCAATTTCCATTCAATTGATTAATTTCATGAAATAATAATAGCTCGTTCTTATATAGCGCTTTTCAGGACCTCTCAAAGCGCTTTACAGATAAATATTATTACCCCAGTCATCGGATTCAGGCTTAGCAATGTATGCACATTATTCACTCCCATTTTTACAAGCGCCCACTTGCTAATCTAAACACATTAGCTTTCGCATCCTACCGGGTACCCATTTAACACCTTGGTATTAGTTTTGTTAATATAATATGTATTGTAAAATTGTGCCTTAGAAATTGCATTAAAAATCCAAAAAGCAAAAAGCAAAATTCACAGTGATTTCCCTTACAAACACGAGGCTCAGAGCAAAATCATTGTGAGCTTATGTGTTTTAAGAGCCCAGAATTGAAATTATATCAAACAGTGTAAGCAGTTGCTACTACATTTTCATATGCTTTAGAAATTAATGCGTCATTTTAGTTGTCATATTAGCTTAGCCTTATCAGTAAGCTAATCATGTTTAGACAAAAGTGTATTGAAGTAGCAATTAAATAAAACCTTTGTTCACTATTAGGACTATAGTAGTTTTGAACTTTAAGTTTGCAAAACCTCAGAGTTATAAACAATGATCTACTTTACTTTCACTGGTGAGGTTTGAAACAATGAGTATTTAAATTTTAGGGAAATGCAACCCAAGTAGACAACTACTCTAAAAGCAGAAAACTCAGAGAAGCAAACTGATGAAAGTTTCGATTGAATCTGACTAAATAAAAGAAAGTTATTTTTTAAGAGTTCTAATCTATATATGTATGGGCACTTCAAATTGGCTGAAGCAGTAATATCAATGTGACGTAGTGCCGGACTAGTTTCCTATCTGTTCCAACGTATAAAATGAAATGACAAAATTTTAAAATTTTCAAAGATTCCGGGCTCAGGAGGGTCCATTCATTTTTAGAGGACATATAATGATATGCTATCTATAATATATTTTGAGTAGTGCCCCAAGGGAGAAGGAACTTACAAGAAAAACAGAAATTAATGATATTTTTGTACACAGCAAATTGGAGAGTTATCCACGTCCTACGTCACAATCCACTGACCAAACTACCAATTTGAGATTCGCATAGACTTGGTGATCTCTTATTTCAAACATTCATAATTTTGTTACTATTGGTCCGATTCATTTAAAACTTTTGCCATTCTGTTTCTCTAATTTTCTGCTTTCATTCAAATCAACTTATTACAAGGGTTTAATTGCCCTTTAAAGTTAATTGCATCTGCATGGCACATAACTTTGCATGAGGGTTCCTCACTGCTCGTAGTTATCACACTAATCTCAAGATGCTCATGATTAACAACCTCATGTAAACTTAAATATCATAACCACGTGTTCATCTGCCCAGTCCCTAACTGCAAATTAACTTTGAAGTTTGAAACCCACCACCTAAACTTACGATGAGTGTACTCGTGTTAACCTCACTAAAGTCACATACAGGTATCTTAACATATTTTAATGGGGAACTTAACAGTCATAAGATCAGAACAGTGGTTTGTCTATTGCATAATGGTCATGTTTTTAAACAAGATTAAATGATGAAGTGGAGAGAAGAAATAGTGATTAATTCAGTTGCTGGAGGCGTAAATCATTCACTTTACTGAAATATGAAAAATATACAGTTGCTTTGATAGAGATTAGATTCACAGTATAGAATTTATAGTATTTAAAATGTGATTTTCTATTGTTTATTATGCCCGATTTTTGTTTGTTATGGTAAAACATGACGTGCACGTGTACTTGCATTCATATGGATCAATTTATGTGTTGCTGTACATGTACTCTCATAGCAGTTCAGATAATTCTAAATGATTAAACAAATCAGCTCATCCACCTCAAATTGGCAACAGTTATTTGTATTTTCCAATCTTTCATAGTTTCAAAGAAATTAAATGTATATTAGATAAGATAAGTGAATGAAAGTTACAAAAAATCAATAAGAAATTACCAATTAGTACACAAAAATATTGATTTGAAATTCCTCACTGTGATGCCAATTTGGAGACTTCAGTGATTATTATTTTAATATCGAACCGCCCTTAATCATGAATGACACAATGTACTTCAACAGAAATAGTCTCAAAATTTCAGTAATTTTTACCCTAACTGCTCATGTACATTTTGTTATTCAAAACACACTGGATGAAAAATTTATAAAGAAAACATCACCATAAGGCCTAAAACAAAAGATGTTGTATTGCCCTTTAGGTGCCAAAACATGGGTCGGTCGGTCGTTTGGTTGGTCGGAAATCTTTTTTTTTTTAATAATTTTTTTTTTATTTCTCTTTGGGCTGATAATTCTCAGATTTTAATGATTTCATTTGTTTTTCTCTAAAAAACGGTTAAAAACAACTTTAAAAAAAAAGCTGAACGTAGATTTCAAGATTTTGGGGTTGGTCACAAAGGGGACAACATTTATTTTTTAGGCCTAAGGCAACACTAAAATGCTCCGAACTCTTGATCAAAATTCATAAAGAAAATATCACAATAAGGCAACACTAAACTGCTCGAACACTCTGGATCAAAATTTAAAAAGAATACATCACTATTAGGCAACACTAAACTGCGCCGAGCACTCTGGATCAAAATTTAAAAAGAATACATCACTATAACGCAACACTAAACTGCTCCGAACACTCTAGATCAAAATTTATAAAGAAAATATCACAATAAGGCAACACTAAACTGCTAAGAGCGCTCTGGATCAAAATTAAAAAAGAAAATATCACTATAAGGCAACACTAAACTGCTCCAAACACTCTGGATCAAAATTTTAAAAGAAAACATCACTATAAGGCAACACTAAACTGCTCCAAACACTCTGGATCAAAATTTTAAAAGAAAATGTCACTAAAAGTGACACTATAATCCTTTGGGTCAACCACGCTGTATTATTACAACACTGTTTCTACCACAACTGTTGAAACAGGAATAGTGGTTATGTATAACCATAAAAAGTCAATCATTTTTCAATATTTGGTGACAAACTGAACATTATTATTAATTCATTGGTTTTGCTCTTAACTCGTTCACTTCACATAATTACCTACATTGAACTCAAGTCCAAGATTTGTTTTGGTGAGTGCTTGTTTGGAAAGATAATGTCCAGTTAAGACTCCTTATGGAGCGCACACATAAAATCTGAAGACAGAACATACCAATTACAAGTACAGCATACAGTGCATGTCACTGATGTTCAATTTTGTTTTTACATACCGTAATTAACGGTGTATAAACCGCCCTCGTGTATTAACCGCACCCCTCTTTTTCGCCCTAAAAAAAAAAAAAAAAAAAAAAAATTTTTGCTGACTCTTCTTTGCCAGGTCCGTGTTAAAAAACCCACGCATGAAGGCCTTACATTTAACTGCGAGGTGCAGCTGAATGTGTAAGATCATTAATGTAAATTAAAAAACAGTAGAGGACCTAGGATAGAACCTTGTGGTACGCCATGTAATAGA